GTGCAGCTCACAGAGCAGTGGTGTCACAAGGGCCATTCTTGCCCCCCAAAAAACTACCCATGCTGCCACACTCTGTCCCAGTTGTAGTAAAAAAAAGATGTTGAGGCTCTAGAAAAAGTACAGAGAAGAGCAACCAGGATGATTTGGGGACTGGAGGCTAAAACATATAACGAACGATTGCAGGAACTGGGCATGGCTAGTCTAGTAAAGAGAAGGATCAGGGGAGACAGGAGAGCGGTCTTCCAATATTTGAGGGGCTGCCACAGGGAGGAAGGGGTCAAGCTATTTTCTCAAGCTCCTGTAGGCCAGACAAGGAATAATGGATGGAAACTGAACAAGGAGAGATTTAACCTGGACACAAGGAGAAACTTTCTGACAGTGAGAACAATCAACCGATGGAACAGAAGTTGCCCTCGGAAGTTGTGGGAGCGCCATCACTTGAGACTTTCAAGAAGAGATTGCCATTTGTTAGAAATCGTGTAGGGTCTCCTGCTTGGGCGGGGGGGTTGGATTAGATGACCTACAAGGTCCCTTCCAACTCTGATGATCTGTATCTTTCAAATGCTCTTCCAGGGAGCCCCCTGTAGAGCGCATGACGGTAGTCCAGTCATGAGATGAGTAGGGATTGAACGACTGAGTGCAGGGCATCCTGGTCCAGGAAAGGAAGATGGATGGCAAATAATTGTAAGAACCAGCAAACAAACAAATCTCAGCAAGAACCAGGAATTTGTGGGGTTTTTATCAGACTCACCAGCAGCTAATGGAGTCTTGCTAGGATCTAGGAAGAGAGCTATCACTTAAGCTGATTAATGGACCAACTGTGGTCAGCAGTTCTCTGCTTCATCAATCTGTTGGCCTTTCAAGCTCTAATGTGGATTTTTTTCCCCTCTCCCAATTTATGGTTTCTAAGATCTTCCAACAGCACCGCTGACAAGTATAGGTAAGGCTGTAAATCCATGAACGCTACTTTGCAACACAGGCACAACTCCAGATTCTATTTAGCTGGCAGCGTATATTATTAAAGAGGAAATATAGGATTACAAACGTGTTTGCTTTCCTCACCAGCAGCTTCATAATACACAGTTGACTGCATAAAACAGGGGTGTCAAATGCCATTTCATTGAGGGCCGCATCAGGGTTGTGTTTGACCTCAGGGGTGGTAGTGGCCTGTTGTCGTTCACCAGCGGCCTGTGCAGACGGCAGTGGAATTGGACAGTGGGGAAGAACGGGGACCAGTCAGGGAGTCTGGAGAGGACTCGGACGAGGGTCCTGAATCCGATGCAGAGATGGGGCCAGGACCATTTGGGAGTGGGGTGCTGACTCCAGAGCCTCCGGAGTCTGGCAGCAGCGAGGCAGAGGAACAAGGGGAGCCTGTTCCCAGTGCGCATGTGGGACAGAGCTGCTAGAAGGCGAGAGCAGCTGAAACAAAAGGGGTGACTCAGGAGTAAGGCTTGGAGGTGATTGCCCCTCCCATAAGGTATAAAGGACAGGCAAAGATTAAGAAACCTTTGCAGGAAGCAAAGTTGTTCATTCTGTTCAGATTAATCCTTGAAACTCTGTGTGGACTTTGTACTTCAGTTGGTTTTTTATAATTCATTTGGCACTCTAGTTGTTGGCAGCAATTCAAAGGAGATAAAGGTGGGTGCTTATCTCGAGAGACTGTTTGGGACCCATTACCGGCTGGGAATAAACATAATTCCCAGCGTTGAAATAAAACAAGACTTGTTTTAACTAAGCCTGTGCTTAATTACGGTCTCAGGAAGCCTTGGTCAGAACATGGCCAGGGTGGGCATGGCCAGCTCAACATCACTCTGCTCTACATGATTATAACTTTCCCCCTCCTCCAAATATGGTGTATGAGATCTGTCTGCAAGATCCCACCTTCAGATATATATGATGATGGCAGATGAGATTCTGCCGAAACGTTGCTACAAATTTAAAAGCACAACTACAGTGACGTGGGAAAATACCCGAACAAAGCTGAATGCCATACATGTAAGTACCCGTGAAAAGTTAAGAAAATATACACACACACACACACACAAACACACACACACACACACATTAGTGTATGGGGAGATTTAATTCCAATCCCTTTCTAATAATGCTTCGTGTGGAATTTCCCCTTTTTGTACAGGTATTTTCACACTAAATTGTAAGGTTCCTTTTCAAAGAAGAAAGAACAAAGAGTTAAGGAGGCTTGGAGGAAAAGACATATTAAATCATGAACATCACTGAACAAGCGAACCGTTGGATGAAAAAACATCTCAAGAAATGGATTAGAATGATATTTAAAACAGACAAAATCAAGTGTGATGACCCAGGGCGAGGCACAGAGGCAACACAGGTAGGTGACAGTTCAAACGGCCCCTTTGTTGCTGCAAAGTTCCCCAAACACTCCCACTTTTCTGGCAAAGTGATGACACACACACACACATATACACACCTCCAGCAGCCTGCAGGCTGCAAGTAGTCCAGCCCAACGCTGTGAGCACCACAACTGCAAAGCAAGAAACCCAGCAGGGCAAGTCAAGGAGTCCAGGAAGCAAAGGAGCAAGGCAATTAATCCAGGAAGCCAGGAAGAAAGCAGGAAATCTAGGACACTTTAAACGTCGGTGACGGCACTCAACACGCCAGGAATTCAGTGTTTGTTCCTGACAAATGCCCCTCCCCACAGCGTCTTCTTCAGGCTCAATCCCCAGGTGTGCCTTTCGGAGAGGGGTGAGGTGCTCTCCTCCTGAGTAGCTGGGTCAGTCAGCGCTGTTCCCGCCTTCTTTCCACTCTCCATGCTCGAGGATCAGGAGGGGGAGGTCACTGCCTGAGCTCTGTCTCTCATGTTCACTGCTTAGCCTCTCTTGGTCATCCTGCCCCCGTTCCTCCCTGCCTACAAGCTGTCCCAATCTTGAAAGGCCCTGGCCTGACGTGCCCTGCTCCTACCCATTTTCCTCCGAAGCCAACGAAGCCACCCCCTTGTTGGCTCCAGTTCCAGCTCGTCTTCCCCTGCAGATTCAGGCTCCGACAGGGGCATGACACCAAGCAAAGGTGACTTACAACCATTGACTGTTCAAACGTATGGTGGCACTGAAAAAAAGGGACTACGAACTAGTCCTTGCACGTATCATTCCCCACCACCATGTGACCAAAATTCAGGGGCTCAGCATGCATTTATGAGGTTGAGGCATCCCAGGGTCGTGGGAATGCCGTTTGCAGCTTTTCAAAACAACTTCCAACAGGCAAAGTTAATGGTGGAAGCCAGATTCGTTTTAACGACTGCATGATGGGCTTAACAATCACAGTGATTTGCTGAACCACCATGGCAAAAAAAATGGGGGTGACTCTCTTCATCTTGCTTAGCAATAGAGATTTCGGTCCCCGATTGTGGTTGTAAGTGGAGGATTACGTGTACTTTACACAGGGCGCAATTTAGCCTGTGTCAAAAGCGTGGCGCGGTGTCACATCGATTCTATGTTTAGAAGATAAAAGAACAAATCACCTGAGTCTTCCATCCTCTGCAGCAGCTCCTCCTGGTATTATCTTAGTAATAAATATTCCGGGATCGTCGCCAATATGTGGGTTATCTGTTCCTCCAGCAATACTGAACCCCAGGCCAGAATTGCCCTAAAGAAAAAGAAAGACAGAGAAAAATAAAATAACAATATAACTGTCGCAGAAAGGATATCCTTGACTAGACAAGCGTAACGGAATAACGCGAGGGACCTTGGAGATCTTCTAAGTACATGGGTGTCGAACTCAAGGGCTGGGAGATGGAGACGGCCTGTGAAGTGCTTAGGTCTGGCCCATGGAGCCACCCTGGAAACAGCAAAGGAATTGCTCCGTGGTGCCTCTGCCAGCGAAAATAGACCTCCGGAGGGCCATGTGTGGCCCTCCCGAGCTCCGTTTTCAGCCGCGACGGCCTCCTGCAACCCTCTGCCAGAGAAAACGGAGCTCGGGCGTGCGGCCCTCCCAGGCTCCATTTTCAGCCACAACGGCCTCCCGCAACACTCTGACGCAGCAGCCCCTTTCCCCCAAACTCTGTTTTCACTGGCAGAGGGTTGCAGGAGGTTGTCGCGGCTGAAAACGGAGCTTGGGAGCCCGTTTTCATTGGCAGGGCCACCACAGGCGCCTTCGACATGGGTGATCTCAAAATGGCCACGCCCTCCGTGAAATCGAGTTTTGACATCCTTATTCTAGTCCAATCCACCCTGCTTAAAAGCAGGAGTCCCGATACCATTCCGGACAATACCAGAAGATAATTACCATGTCACCTGTAAACCTTCTCTTTGTTAGGCTAGACATACCCAGTTCCCTTAACAGAACAACAGAGTTGGAAGGGACCTTGGAGGTCTTCTAGTCCAACCCTCTGCACAAGCAGAAGCCCCTATGCCATTCCAGGCAAATGGTTGTCTAATCTCCTCTTAAAACCCTCCAGTGTTAGAGCATCCACAACTTCTGGAGGACAGCCATTTCACTGATTAATTGTTCTCACTGTTAGGAAATTTCTCCTTAGTTCTAGATGGGATCTCTCCATTGGAATAGAATAGAATAGAATAGAATAGAATAGAATAGAATAGAATAGAATAGAATAGAATAGGATAGGATAGGATAGGATAGGATAGGATAGGATAGGAGAGGATAGGAGAGGAGAGGAGAGGAGAGGAGAAGAGAAGAGAAGAGAAGAGAAGAGAAGAGAAGAGAAGAGAAGAGAAGAGAAGAGAATTCTTTATTGGCCAAGTGTAATTGGACACATAAGGAATTTGTCTCTGGTGCAAATGCTCTCAGTATACATAAAAGAAAAGATACACTGATCAAGAGTCATTGCTTCTTGTCCTGCCCTCAATGTGATGGTTTAATAATTTAAAATACAAATAATAAAGCTTTTGGCTGTTTAGACTAAAGTTTGAAGGAGTATTTGGACTTGCTATCCAAGAACCAGAAAGTTTTATAACGACAAGCAGATTAGGTCCCCAGATGGTTAAATGCTGTCTTATTGATTCATTTCCCATTTGCTAAAGAGCTAGGCTGCTTCAGCGCAAAGCCTTTTAGAGTGTCGTACTTTAATAACCCAAGTTTAGCTTATTGTTGCAAAATGGCTCTTCTCTTTATGAAGAAAAACTGGACAGGATTCCAGCTGCTCTTCAAATCCTATTCTAAAGCATCTTGAAGACAATCAGAGCTCCAGTGGTTTACTAAATTGCTTTTGGCCACAAAAGGTCCTTGCAAAACACCCACTGAGAATACCATAGTGACAAAACAACAATCAGTGTTATTTTGAGGCTGAAAATTTATGGATTCCTCTATCTGTATGCATTCTGGAGTGGGTATTGGGATAAGGGACGATAAGAGTTTTATCAAAAGTCTTTGTTTCTGTTTTGTGCTTTCCTCCTTGATAGGATAATCCAGTGGTGGGAAACTTTTTGGGCTCAATGTGTCAAAAATTCAGAAAAACGCCTAACTTAACAGTGCTGGTGTGTTTCACACACATCCACTCCAACAAAAAAGAAATGATTCTTTACATATTCATTTATTCTGTTTAAAAAGTGCCAAAAATAATTGAGGTAAACTCAAAGTTGCCCAAGGCCTTCATTGTTTTTTCTTCTTCTTTTAATGTTATTTATTTATTTCCAAAGTTGAAGTATAAAACTGAACTACAAAAAAATAGAATACAAAACAAAAACAAAGGAAAAAGTGTATAGAACAAAATATTAAACATACATATAAAATGTCCCCACCCTCTGTTGAATACTAATAT